GGATGAACCACATTCTTGTCTATACTGTAGACATTAATTATGTCCAAATCATCACTACATCTGTAATAACATTGTGCATTGGAGGATTAAAAGTTGATAAATCGCTAAATATGTTAATGTAGAGTGTAATTTACTACAACAACATTTAAGCATTGGAGATGCTTTAACCCATTTAGTACGTCAGTCATTCGTGTACCAGTTCCAACAGTTTTGTTATGAAGCCAACAATTGACTCTATAGAGGAGTCAACATTCTATATACAACAAACCATAGCATATTAATAAAACTATTAGTATTTATTTAAGTCATAGAAAATATAGAATGATTTACTTGTTGTATAGAGAAAATTGGTTTCATAATAAAACTATTAGTATTTATTTAAGTCATAGAAAATATAGAATGATTTACTTGTTGTATAGAGAAAATTGATTTCATTATAGATCCAAGTATTGACTTCATTGCAAAACTGCTACTTTCATATCCACCATATTTATGTGTGTGTGTGGACATGGTGTTTTTTTTAACAAAAAAAATAAATAAATAAATAAATAAAAACGATGGAATTTGAAGTATAATGAAATCAAAATTCATAACATTCCCTATGCTATCTCAAGTTTCACATTAAACCTTACAAATTCTTCCCAATGGTTCCTAGCACACATTTAAAGGATGGTCTTTCTTCTCATCCAACCATCTCTTTAAGATAAATTACATATAGATCTTAAAACTGTAACAATAAATTTATGAAAAACATAAAATTTTGTACAACTTAATTTTATTTCAATTAAACGATTTTGTAGGTACAATCTCTATATGTCACCTCTTATTTATCTCTTCTTAAATAACATTGAATTGATGGCTTAAAAGCTTTTTCGCAAATCAAACACTATATTGTTTTAATGTTTCAACGAACGTGGCTTGAAAGCGGTTCATATTTTTGGATTGATTTGAGAGGACTGTATGTCGCACCTTTATTTATTGGAGAAGAACCGCCATATTTTTTTTCCTTGGCTTTCTTCTCCATTGAGCGTACTTCGGAGGCCATGAGACTTGATTCCAGATTGAACATCGATCTTCAACTTAAGTGTCATTGGATCTTCAAGACGTCTTCAAATCTTTAAGAAAGTTCTTGAGAGCCCTTGAACTTGTGACTTCGATTATGAAGTGTGATTTTTTGCTTTGGGAGAGACCCTATTTATAGTTGTAGGAGAGAGTTTTAGAGAAATAAAAAACATCATTTTGATTGGTCCTTCATGGTTTAATATAATCTTTTTTCTTATATTAAGATTTGAGTTGGTGGGCAAGATACATTTATTTTATTAATTAAATATCTTATTTATCTTAGATTTATGTAAATAAATAAAAAATATGTTAATTAATAAAATATAAATTATTGTCTACAATTGTCCTCTTGAGACTTGTCTAGTAGTGAATGAGTCACAAAATTTTGTATTTGGATGAGACATGCAGAAAATTAAAATCCTTATCTTGGAATTCTTCAACTTGAATTTGTAGATAGTTTAAACTTTAGTTCTTCATTTGACTTTATTTGTAGATAGTTTGAACTTGTATTAAGTAGTCTTGAGTTGATTTGACAGATAGTTTATACTCGTAAAGGAGTCTTGAATTGATTTGATTTGTAGATAATTTATACTTGTATCAAGAAGTCATGATTTGTAGGCATTTTTATTCTCTTATCAAGGAAACTTGATTTGATTTGATTTGATTTGATTTTAAGACAGTTTATACTCTTGTCAAAATAGTTCTTCATTTGATTTTTTTGACCTTTTATACTCGTATCAAATATATATCAAATTTGCAGACATTTTATGCTCGTTTCAAGTAGCCTTCAAATTTGTAAATAATTTAACTTCATATCAAGGAGCATTAAAGATAATTGAGACTCTTATCAAGGAGCGTTTGAATTTGAGTATTTTGATAGTTTTTTGCTCCTATTGAGGAACTTTATAGATAGTTTAGGTTCGTATCGAGGAAAACTGAATTGAAGTTTTGCATATTTTTTGCCCATATCAAGGAACATTTGAATTGAAATTTTGGTTAAATTTTATATGGAGGAGCTTTATAGATATTTTAAGCTTGTATCGAGGAGAATTTAAATTTGTAGATAGTTTATACTCATATCAAAGAGCATTTGAGATTGCAGATAATTTATGTTCATATCAAAGAGCATCGTAGATAGTTTAAGTTCGTATCAAGGAGCACTTGAATTTGATTTTTAGATAATTTTGACTCATACCGAGGAGCTTTATAGATGGTTTTGACTCATATCAAGGAGCATTTGAATCTGTTTTGATGAATCTATTCGTGTAAATTGCCCCCATTGAGTTTGCATTACGAAGGACTGTAGATCCTCTTTTGTTTGCCTCCATTTGCATGAATTTGATTGAGTCAACAATTTTCAGCGGCTTCATGACTTGAGAAGACATCATCTTAAGTTTTCCCCTTATACATTGTCTGTAAAGAGGTCTTCATGAAACTTGAAACTGATTTGAAGAAAAGAGATGAGGAGTAGATAAACATCGTCTTTAAAGAGGTCTTCATACATCTCCAATATCGTCGAACTTTATTTGAAAAAAAATAGATGAGAGGTAGAAAATTTCTCACCGGGGCTTGCCAAATTTGTAATAATAAATTTTGTGAAAAAAATAAAACTTTTGTACGAACTTAATTTTAGATTCACTTTAACGTTTAGACTGGTACAATACCCGTGCATTACACGGGTGCTTGTTAAAAAAATATTTTTAAATTTAAAATTTGAGAAAAATTATTTTAAATTTTATTTATTTTTTTTACAAAAAATATATATTATTATATTTTATAATGACACTTGTTAGTTGTGCGACTTACATGTGTTACATTTATAGTAATTTGTATAACTTATATCATATAACTACTTGAAATATAATTATATTAATTGATAAATAATTTTATTTTTCTAATTAATATAAAAAAGCAATTTTATTGTTATTATGAAGATAAATATAATCTATTTTTATATACATACAATACGGATGTTAAATCAAAGTTCATTAAGAGATTATTAATTCGATATATTATATATGTAATATAAAATACAAAAGTTATTAACCTTTGAAATACATTTACAATTCAATTATTATAATAAGAAATTATTTTAAAATATAATTAATACATGTAATATGACCATAAATAATCAATATATTTATAGATAATCATACCTAATTATTTTTGGACTGGAAGTAAATTAAAATCTACTCAAGCTTAACGAAACATGTGATAAAATTAAAAAGTCTCTCTCTTAAAACGCCGATCCCTTTTTCTTCGTTCTCTCTCGCCGACAATCAACCGTCATCGTTGCCCTCCTTGCGGCCTTCCGCCCTACTGGTAGTTCCTCGCCGACCGGCCCTTCCCAGTTGCTGCGACCCTGCTCGACATGGTAGCCGATGGCTCTTGAGATCGCCAAATCAAACTCGCTTGCTCCGACAGGTGGGTTAGGGTTTGCGGTTGCAGGTCTTCTGGGTGCGGTGGAGGGTCCTTGGGCCGCGGTGAGTTGGGTTCAGGACGGGTTTGGCTATGACTGTCAGCATTCTTGGGTCGAAGCATCATTAGACACTCAGGATCCCTCTCTCCGAAATCGCTTTCGATGGATTGGTCGGACTTGTGGGTTCATTTTTTCCGGTCGCCCAGGTATGCTGGGGCTGTTACTTTTCGCCGACGGAATGGTGAGTTTAGGCGGCGAGCTTTTGATTGATGTTTGGTCGGAATTTCAGTTTGCCGGAATCGATAGAGGGTGAGTTTTCTCTTCTTGTCGTTCCTGTCTCGGTTCTCTTTCGCCTGCGACTGGTGAAGCTCTTTGCTTTCTCTGTTCTTTCCGAAATTTGGCGGAGCTCTGTTGCTGCGGCTTAATTAGGGGAGGCATGACTTGGTGCGTGCAGTTCGGGGTTGGGTTCTTCTGTGGCTGAGGTGTCTTTGTGACTTCGTGATAATGCAGCTGGGGTTGAGGCGTTGAGACAGTTTCTCTTTCCCCGGTTCTATGGGTTCTAGGGTGCTCACTGTTCTCAGAGTCCGCTAGTGGTGTTAGGGGGCTCGGTCTGGCGGTGTTGGGATCTTTCTCGGTGTTTTATGGTGTAGGGAAAATTGGCTTTGGGTGGAGTTCGTAATATGAGTTTCGATCAGCTAGATATTTTGGCAGTGGAGGGGTCGCTCTTCTCATGCTGTTGAATCCCCCTGGGTTGATTTGGTGGCTGCTAGTGAGGTTAGGATTTGTTGTAGAGGGAGGGCTTGTGTGTTTTTATTGTCTTTTCAGTGTTTGTTTTGTAGTTTGTTGTCTCTGTCGTCATTTCCGTTGCATGTTGTTGGTGTTTGTAATGTCTTGTGTTTTTAGTTTGGGTCGTTGGCCCCTGTGAGCCCGACTGTCAAACTTATTATCCTATTGGGATCCGACACTCGAGTATTACCCTGTTGGGGTCTTTTTAGTTGTTTTAGTTGTGAGTTTTATTCTAGCGTTGTTAGTTGGTTCTCTAGGCGGTCTTGTGACATGTCCTTCAACTTTTTCAGCTGTTGACTGCAGTGTATTCGCACATTTGTGCATTTTGATTTATAATATTTTCTATCATTTTGGCAAAAAAAAAAAGCATGTGATTTTTGCTGTATGTCACTCCATGTGAGTGTTATGTACACCTTTATTTACATTTATTATGTGTTTGTAACATTTTCCTCTACACAAAGTAGTATTTTATTTTTTATTATTATTAACGAATATTTGCCTATTTCATTTGAGCGAAAAGAGGAAAATTGAGCAGGCGCATTTATATTGTATGCACAGGCTGTTACATTGATCAAATCGAGGCCATCCAAAAACACAACACTCCCCACAAAATGCGAAATTTCAATCCCTCACGGCCCCAAACCCTCATATATAAATAACCCTCCAACGCCCCCATCCTAAACCAACCCTCCAACGCAAAACGACTGCCGACGAAAAAGGGGGGAAAAAAACAATGGCCATGGATCGGTCGTCGAGCATCACGAAGAAGACCGACGGCGACGAGCGAGATCTGACCGCAGAAGACGTCGGCGGCGACGAGAAGAGCGCGTCGATCGAGAGGATATTCGAGGGGAAGGAGGTCCCGCCGTGGCAGCGTCAGCTGACGCTGAGGGCCTTCGTCGTGAGCTTCATCCTCGCCATCCTCTTCACCTTCATCGTGATGAAGCTGAATCTGACGACCGGGATCATCCCCTCCCTCAACGTCTCCGCCGGCCTCCTCGGCTTCTTCTTCGTCAAGACGTGGACCAAGTTCCTCGAGAAATCGGGCCTTCTGAAACAGCCGTTCACGAGGCAGGAGAATACCGTGATTCAGACGTGCGTGGTCGCCTCCTCCGGCATAGCCTTCAGCGGTCAGTTTATTAGAAAACAAACACGCACACATACACATACACATACACACGTTTTTATTTATTCATCTATTGTTGTTCATTGTTATGTTCGTTCTTTTGCCGACCTAAATTTTATGCAATTGGGGATAAATTTTCTGGTAATATTATTCTGAAGGCTTGAATTTGATGATATTTTGTGCAAGTTCGTCGGAGCTTTTTCTAGAATTGTTCATTTGTTTACATTATCCTTATTGTTTATGTGTTTACATGAGAATATGGATTCTCTCCGTGCAGATTTCTCCATCAAAACTTGAAACTTTTTGAATGATACTGTTCAAGATCCACAAAATAAGCGTGCTACCGTCCCGGTGAATGGGACAAACAAATTAAATAATTTTTTATTTTTTTTTTTTTTTGAGGAAAAAACTAATTCTTACCGTTGGGACCACTTGTATATTCCAACCCCGTTATTTTTTTTTATGCACAACAACATAAATAAATGCAATAAATACAGAGAATACCCCATTAAAAGGACATGTTTTTGTTGCTGGATTTAATCCAGCATTAGTTCATCACAAACCAAAAGGCTATTCTGTTTTGTGGGGTATTTAAATATCTTAATAAGATATTTTATTATTTGACTTATAATTAAAGAAAGTTGTGTGTTTACTACTGTTTATACTGTTTTTTAGGAGATATTTATGTATTATTTGACTCTTTAGTTTCTGTAATTTGTTCTTTGACTAAGTGGGGCTGGCTGTCATGTGATTGTAACAGGCCATTTGGGTAATTATATATTAAAATCGCCTAATTTGAACTTTGTTATTGCTTTTTTATTAAAAAAAAAAAAACTGCCAAAAGTTGTATTCATTCATATTTAGAGGAAATAAAAACAAAATCGGAAAACGTCTGCTTTTTTCAGCAACTTCATTGATACTCTTTTTTCACGAAAACAAATAAAAGGAAATAAAGAATTGTACTTAAAAAGTCAAGGATTAATGCAATTCATGTGATGTAGACATGTCCACGGGCCGAACTAGACCCTTAGGGTCGCGGTTTGGTCCTGGTTCACAATTTCTTCTAGACCCGCCGGTCTGGGCCGGTTCGGCCGCAGATCGGGCGGCAGGCCATGGTGTTATTTTCTTTTTTTAAGGGACGTGACCGGCCCGTGACCTGCTGGGTCGGTGAACCGGCGGTTTAGAACCGGCCCATAGTTTATTTCGGGCCGGTCACTAGCCATGATATTGAGGCCCGCCGACCCGGATGGTGGCCCGGCAATTGGTCACCTCTAATGATGAGATACTGAAGATCATTCTAGGGGCATCATTTATAAATGCCATCCTCTCTGACTGTTATTTCTGTTCATCTTTTAATTCTTGATTCCTTTTAACTGCGCTCTATTTGTTATTTTCACTTGTGGTGCTTCTTTTTTCCTCTCTTTGATATTTTAAGTTGATCATATGTACAATAGAGCAGAACTAAATAGTTGATTTAACTGTATATGATTTGATAAAACAAAATATTGATAGTGATAGTATACATATGATAAAACAAACACTGAAAAATTTGGCATGTACATTCTTGAATCATCACAGGAGGTTTTGGGAGTTACCTGTTTGGCATGAGCGAAATTGTGGCCAAGCAGTCTACCGAAGCTAATGACCCTCAGAATATTAAGGATCCGACACTTGCATGGATGATCGGTTTTCTCTTTGTCGTCAGCTTCTTGGGACTCTTCTCCGTGGTGCCCCTCCGGAAGGTGAAAAAGATTTATTTTTTACTCTGTTATTCTTCATTCTGGCTATTATTTTATTGCTGGTATCTTGCATTGGTTCTAGTTAATGAATTATTGTTTTAACTTTTATGTTAATTACTTGCCTTGTATAGCAAGGAAGTGCAACTGAGATTTAACTGTAGATTTCTTAACTTTTACTGCCCTGTCATTACATTGACATATATTTCTGTTTTAATTTTACAGATAATGATCATAGATTTCAAATTGACATATCCAAGTGGCACAGCAACAGCTCACTTAATCAACAGCTTTCACACACCTCAGGGTGCCAAGCTAGCCAAGTAAAGTCATCACTCATCAGCCAGTCATATTTCAAGCCCCATCAATAAATAATGTCCCACAAGGCACAAAGTGATTATTAAATGCATCTCATTACATTTTTGTTTCACTGTCCTGTGTCCAGGAAACAAGTTAGAGCCTTGGGTAAATTCTTCTCCTTCAGCTTCCTGTGGGGTTTCTTCCAATGGTTTTTCACCGCTGGAGACGACTGTGGATTTGTCAGCTTCCCGACATTCGGTCTTCAAGCCTATGCTAACAAGTGAGTACAAGATTCCCATTATTTTTTTTTCTTCCTTCTTTCTTACTGACACCCCAATGGATATGGATTGTTATTTCAAGTGACTCGGTAGGTAACAAACGTCATTATACTTTTTAGGTTTTACTTCGACTTCTCGGCCACATATGTCGGCGTGGGCATGATCTGCCCCTACATCATCAACGTATCACTACTAGTTGGAGCTATACTTTCATGGGGTATAATGTGGCCCCTCATACTGCAAAAGAAGGGCAATTGGTACTCTGCCGAGTACTCCTCTAGCAGTCTTCACGGCTTGCAAGGCTACAAGGTCCCACACTCAACCTCCCAAATCTCTTAAAACATCCCCATAGTAGATTTATTTCAATTTTTTTTTTTTAATTTGTTCTTCTCTCTCTCTCTCTTTCTTTTTCAGGTCTTCATAGCTATAGCCATGATCCTAGGCGACGGCCTCTACAACTTCCTTAAAGTCCTCGGCCGCACTCTTTTCGGCCTCTACAACCAATTACGCGACAAAAACGATAACCTCGTTCTTCCCGTCGGTTCCGAGTCGACAACCCCCTCGGCCCCCGTGCAGTCGTACGATGACCAGCGCCGGACCCAACTCTTTCTCAAGGACCAAATCCCGACCTGGTTCGCCGTGGTCGGCTACGTCACCATTGCCATAATATCCACCGCCGTCCTCCCGCACATCTTCCACCCCCTCCGCTGGTACTACATTGTCGTAATTTACATTTTCGCCCCAGTGCTCGCCTTCTGCAACGCGTACGGGTGTGGGCTCACCGACTGGTCCCTGGCGTCCACATATGGGAAGCTGGCGATATT